AGCAAGCTAAGTAGATGTAAGACCACTGAGCTAATTATATTAATGTCTAAATCATGCACGTGTAAAAACTGTAACAATCGTAAGCAAAATCATCCCAAACATATCAAAGATTTAGAGGCATCTGTGCTAGATGTATAAATGATATAAGAGCACACCCCATCTCTTTAGAACAATGTCTGGTCTCGAGGAAGTTCCTTCCCTGGGCACAGGTGATAGTACAGGTGGCACTGGGAGTACTGGGAGCACTGGGATCACTCCCCAACTGCTCCAGGCTGAACAAGCCAAGTGTCCTCAGATGCTTCTCCTCTAGACCCTTCACCGTCCTCGTCAGATGTGTATACTAAACTGCTGCTCAAGACTGTCCCATAAGAGACCTCTCCTCTGAGGCTCACACCACATCACCTTGTCGTTCACTCACAGATTTTCTACTGAACACAGGAGAGTGCCCAGGGAGCACATCCACTGTGAGCCATCACAAACAACCCACCATACAACCACGAGCATGTCAAGCTGCCCTTTCATGGCTCACCCAGTCAGCACAGAGAGGTGGGGCTGCCTTCACAATAAGGATGTTTAAGGAGGGGCTTCTTTCATATGACTTCCCACAAACCATGCAGCACACTTGTAGAAGAATAATATAAAGCAAAGGAGACACATAGGCAGAAGCACGCAGCAGAAGAGCATTGGAGGCAAAGGTAACAACCTTAATGGAGACTGATGAAGGAGACAAGCAGAACATCAGTGACCTAAAGTGAAGCTCTCAAAGCAGGAGACCTGCTTTTTACACCTGTTTTTTATAGTCAGGAGATGATCAAGATGATGGTTACATTCAGAGAAATATTCTGGCCCAGGCACTTTTCTCCGATGCTTCCTGCGCTACCTAACAAGTGCAGTTAAACCCGCCTCAGTGATAGTTTGTACCAGCCCATGTTCTCCCCATCCAAGATATCCAAGGATACGATGTAACCAGCGGGCAGCCAGTGGCGGGGCAGGAGAGGAACCAGGATTCCAAAGCCAACCAGCGCAAAGAAGAGGAACAGCAGCCAGGCAATGATCTGGAACAGGTGCAGGGGCCAGCTCCAGCCATTTCTTCGAGCACGTTGGACCTTCACCTCAGGAACAGCTTCGCCCAAATCCTCTGGAACTATCTTATTATGAGGTTTATTGCAGATATTCATCTACAGAAATAAAAAATGGAAAACAAAAATATGTGATACTATGTATCTGGTGCTGGAGAGATTCTCCGGCAGACTAAGTTAGAGACTAAAATGATGACACACATGTGAAGAGAAACAGCTCTGAGCTCACAAGCAGTTTCTCCTTTTTTCAGCTTTTGGTGGATTATTAGATGCTGCTTTTCACTTGCCACAGGGCTCTCTAACAACAGAGAGTTGGGCTGCTCTGCTTCACAGAAAACTTGAGGTAGCAGAGAGAGCAAACCAGGCAATTGATCAGGGGCAGCATCACAAAACCAACACAGAGGAGCTCTGCTGGACCTGAGGTGATTCAAGGTACCTCTGCACCACTCTCACCCTTCCTTAGTAACTAAAGAGGATGTGAAATTAATATCTAACATGACAAACAACTTCAATTAGTTTGATTAACATGCACAGGAGAGTGATGAAAGAAAAGGAGGAGGCCTCTGGTTCACTTGTGGTATTTTTGATAATGGTTCCAGTGCCAGAACAATTCCACAGGGCTGGAAGAGAGCAAGCACGGCAATGTGCTGAAAGAGTGAGCAAGACAATTCCAATGTTGGTATGCAAACAGCCCTTCAGTCCTTGGCAAAAGGCTGGAAATGTCTTTTTGGGTCAACTGGTAGAGGAGCAAGACTAGCAGAGAATATAATTTATGTTCATCAGTGCATCACGGTCTTATCAACAAGTAGGCTGGAATAAAAAAATCCTAACTTCACCCTTTGAAGTAATTAGCAGTATCTGCCTGCATTCATCATTTAAGTTGCTACATGGCAAGTGGCTCATCACTGATGAGAAATCATTACCAATCATGTCATCCTTTTTTCATTAGGGTGTGGAAAACTTGTTCGTGCATCACTTTGAGCTACCTGTTACAAAGCCCGCAGTGGGTATGGCCCGCACGCCTTTACACCCAGTTCCAGAAAACACTGAATATAAAAAACAGAGCATAAAGTCACTATCGGGGTAGACACAGAGAGGCACCGGGACGTAAGAGCAAGCATCAAGGACCGAGCCGGGTGAGCGGTTTCCCGGGCAGCCACTCTGATGAGAGCCGCGTAGACCCCTCCTGCACTCCACCACCTCCCACCCCTCACCTTCTCCCCGCAGAAGCGGTTGACAGCGGCCCCGGCCCCGCCTCATGCCCAGGCAGGGCGGGGGGCCCCCGGCTGAGGCCTCCACGGCAGCTCCCGGCGCCTCCGCGGGCCCCGGGCCGCTGGGCCCGTCGCCATGGCAACAGCTACGGCGGCGCGCAGGGGGCAAAACGCGCCGGGCGCGATCGTTCAGCGGGGACATTTATTATATATTAAATTATTATTATAATTTAATTCCATATTAAATCGACCTACCTTTATAGCATGAAAATTTAGTATTTTTGGGTTTTATATATATATATATATAAAATATATATATTCAGATTTACATTGTGACAATGAGGTTGCAGAATTTTACTGGGGAGTTTGGAATTTTACTGGAGGTTTTGCTGTGGTTTGTGCTTAAGTAAAACAAAGTAAAGGACATGGAACTAAGGATTGCCTTATCAGTGATAAGGATATTCCTGGGCAACCAGGATAACATTGCATTTGATGGATTTAAAACCCTCCTAGTGTTGTCTGGCATCAGTAATTTCAGCAAGACAGTTTCCAGGGATGCCTGGATCATGGAATCAGAGATTATCCTGAGTTGGAAGGGATCCACAAGGAACATCAAATCCAGCTCCTGACCCTGCACAGGACTACCCCAAAAATCATACCGTGTGTCTGAGAGCATTGTGCAAATGCTTCCTGAAGTCTGGCAGGTTTGGTGCTGCAACCATTTCATTTTAGTGCATCATCAGACAAGCAGCAAGAACACTGGGAAAACAGAATCACAGAAGCAGTAAGGTTGGAAAAGATCTCCGAGATCATTGAGTCCAACCACTAACCCAGGACTGCTTTGTTCACCACCAAACCATGTCCCCAGGTACCACATCCACACACCTTATGAACACCTCCTGGGATGATGATTTCACCACTGTCTGGCAGCCTGTCTCAGCCACCTTTTCCATGAAGAAATTTTCCCTTATATCTAAGTTAAACCTTGTTCTTGGGTTACAGTATACAGAGGCAGTTTCTTCTTGTTCTATCGTTTGTTACCTGGGAGAAGAACCCGACCCCCCTGGCTCCACCCTTCTGTGAGGGAGTTGTTGGGTGATAAGGTCCCCCCTGAGCCTCCTTTTCTCCAGGCTGAGCCCTCCCAGCTCCCTCATCAGCTCCTCACCAGACTTGTGCTTCAGACCTTCCCCAGCTCCACTGCCCTTCTCTGGACTCGCTACACCACCTCCGTGTCCTTCTCCTAGTGAACTTTACAAACCTTTATTGTCCTTAGCAGTCAGTGATGTGTTAGTGACTAATCCAGTGGTACCTGAAGGTTTCAAGTGCAGAAGAAAACCTGCGCAAGAACCCCGTTTGTGGTGTCCATTTTGGCTGGGACAACCTTATGTGCAGGGATAAATATTTACCCCCTAATTTCCTACTTTGCGTCGCAGCCCGCCGCCGCAGTCGGCAGGGGCCAGCTGTGGATTTTGGTGACGCAGCCCTGCCGCCCCCCGGCCCAGCCCGCACCTCTGCTATCCCTGGGGAGGATTTTCCGCCTCGTCCAGAGGAGCAGCCGTGCGGAGCCGGCTCCGCTGGCGGGGAATAAGGAGCTCTTTATGGGCCGCCCGCGGGCTGCGCACAGCGGCTGCTTTGTGCGAGGGGCTCTGGCTGCACACTCACCTAAGAAGGGTTCTGTGTGCGGAGTGAAGGGCGTCCCGGAGGCGGCGTGTCCTTCGCTCGCTGTCCCCAAAGGCCCTTGTCACCTTTTCAACCCCCGGCTGCTCTCCCTGCACAGGGGTCTGGCCATGCTGGCGGTGACAGGGGTAACCAAGGAGTGTGGAGCGCTGCGCCCCGTTTGTTCTCACAGCCCACCCTCCTTGAGATGGGTGCAGGGGGACAGCTCGAGTGCTTGGCGAGCTGGGGAGCTGCAGTTTTGACCAGCCATGTGCTCGGCTCCTGTCAGAGCTGTTGCAGAGGGAATTCTCCTGGACACAAAGAAGCGCAGCCTCTGCCATCATCCCCTGCTCACCAGCTCCAGGGAGCCCTGCTGTGCTTTCCAGGCACCGCCAAGGCAGCTGAGGACAGTCTTGGCTGTGCAGGATGTTCAGGGCAGCATGCTGGAAATTGTGCCTGCCTGTGGCAGGGGAGCTGGCACAAGGTGATCCCTTCCAACCCAAACCATTCTGTGATTCTCTGTTTAGCCCATCTCCCATTTTTATGCTGGGGAACTCTTCAGTGTGGCCCCAGGGACAGCGGTGCTGGAAGGGACTTAGACTCTGCATGACCCTGGATGGGTTTGGTAGCTCTATTGGCATCCCAAGCTCTGAAAGGTGACCCTGCCATTAGCACACCAGCTGTCCCCAGGAGCCTTAGCCCAGGAGGACAAAATGTAGAGAAAGAACAATACCCTTCCTACAGCCACTTTTTTTTATTAGAGATTACAAGATACAAGATGAATCTGCATGCCAAGTGCTGCTGGCTCACTCTGTCTTTCCCCTCCGTGTGCCATGTGAGCAGAGAGGAAGGGGGTTGGCAGAGGTAGGCACTCCCAGGCTGAACTTTCCATTGGCCATGGGGTTTTTCCTACAGGGACAGTTTTTGCCGTGATGGCTATGAGAAAGTATTATGGGAGAGGGATAGCTCCAATGAGACAAAAACTGGGACCACTGAGCTGAACCTGCTCCATTGAGAGGCCCTGGCATGGCCCCACACCTGCCTCTAAATGGAATCAAAACACATATGGGGACACAAAAGCTGTGACCTTGAAGATGTGCTTGCCCAGGAGGACTTTGTGGGAGAACTCGCTCATCTCCAGCTCCACTTCCAGCATGGCTGGCCCTGCCACAGGGCTGGTGAGCAGCAGCTCTCCCGTCTGCCGGTCCGAGCGCCGCACGGCGAAGACGCCCTGGCCCCGTCCGCCCGTGATGGCGAAGCGCAGGCTGTCACCCACGAAGCGGGTGGTGGACATCTTGAAGAGGACACGGGGCACAGTGCGGTTGGCCTGGAGCGGCAGGTAGTGGAAGGAGATGGAGCTGGCAGCCAGCTGGCAGGCTCTGCTGTCCATGGGGCAGGGGTTCCTCTCGCACTGGCTGCCAGGAGAGAAAGGTGCCACCGCTCAGTGCCGTGGTTTGGCTCTCAGGGAGCTGCCCTCATCCTTGCACACAAGCGCAGCCCGTGTCACAGGCAGCACCCCCAGCCCTGCTGTCCGTCCTGTGGCACAGCAACCCAAGACAGACACATCCAAGTGTGCCCAAAATCGTATCTCTGCCTCATCCCTGTTTCTGCCAGGCGAGTGCCATGGCTTGCAGGGACACAGCTCTGGGTGACACTTGGAGGCTGGGACTGGGTGGGTGCCACAGTCCCAGCTGAAGGCCAGGGATAGAGCCAGATGTGCCTCCTGAAGAGGAATCTGTCAGGATCAGGGGTCCTCTATGTGGGTGGCACAAAGAAGTTTAATCTCAAGAGTGGGATGGCTGGGACTGCTGGAAGGCAGCTGATGGCAACACATGGATGTGCAGAAGAGGAAAATCAGCATCATCCCCCCCCAGGCTGGGGCTCTGAGAGGGTCCAGGATCCTGGATAAAGCCCCCATGTACTGGGGTGCTCCCACCTGCACCCCCAGCATCCCAAGACCATCAGGGAGCATGCCAAGCACACCTGAACACCCCATGGGGCAATTTGCTACCAGTGCTGGCTGGCACTCTCCCGGCTGCCCTGGGTGACACTATACAGCCCCCAGCACACAATAGGACCTATCACCCTGGGACAGGGCACGATGTAGCCCAAGCCACACACCGTATGGTACTCACAAGGCAGAGGTCTTGACATAGCTGGTGTTGTGGCGTGGCGGGGGGCACTTGGGGCGCACACAGCGGTGGCCCCCGAAGGTGTTGATGCAGAGGTCACCCTGGCTGCAGTTGTGCTGCTTCCCAGTGCACTCATTCACGTCTGTGGTGGTGACACGGGGTGAGTGAGGCTGTCCCCACTGCACTCCTCTTCCCATGAGCGTTTCCCTGCCCTGAACCCTGGCTTCTTACCCTCACAGGCATTGCGGTCAGCATGGAGCAGATACCCAGGGGGGCAGAGGCAGCGATAGGAGCCAGGGAGGTTGAGGCAGTCATGGAGGCAAATCTGCGTCTGGGGGCTGGACTGGTAGAGCTGGCATTCATCCACATCTAGGGTGGACAAAGTGGGGAATGGCCACAGGTCCCATTGCCACCAAGCCTTGGTTCCCCCGCTTCATCATCTTCACCCTCCTTTTACCTTGGCACATGCCACCAGGTTGCAGCTGGAAGCCGGTGTCACAGCTGCAGCGCCGGGAGCCCGAGCGGCCCTCGGCACAGCGGGGCTGGCGGCTGAAGGAGGTGTTGCTCAGAGTCACCCAGTCTGCAGGGGACAGCAGGTGTCACATGCTGGGGCATGGGGAGGTGGTGGGGGCCAAGGTTCCAGGAGGCTGCCAGGGAAGGGGGAGACAGGCACGGCATGGCCAGGTACTGTCCCCATGAGAATCCCCGTCCTCCACAGCCCAAACCCAGGCACCTACAGGAGTAGATGGGGCTCTGGCAGCTGGGGCCTGACCAGCCTGGGGGGCAGAGGCACGTATAGCTCTGGTTGCCATCCATGCAGGTCCCGCTGTTGGCACACGGATTGCTGGAGCAGTCATCAATACCTAGGGAGAAGGAGCTCGTGAGCATCAGCTGCACAAATGCATCCTTGCCCAACTCCGGTGCCCATTGCTGCAACCTCTGGGCACAGCAATGCCACCCCACAGCTCAGGGTGACAGAGGAGCCCCTCGGAAGGGCAGAGCAAGGCACCCCAATCCCACTCCACTCACTTCTGCAGAAGGGTTGGGTGCCGCTCCACGTGCGGTTGTGCCGGCACGCGCGCGTCTCCGAGCCCACCAGCCGGAAGCCGGCGTCGCAGACAAAGTGAACCTCGTGGCCCACCCGCAGGCTCCGGCCCAGCATCCGTCCGTTCAGGGGCACTGCCAGCTGCGGACACATCTCTGTGGACAGACAGACGTCAGTGGGGATGGACATTGCCAGCCTGGAGCCAATCCCAGCCTGACAGGGAGCTGGGGGGTCCCCTGCCCAGGCTGTTTGTGTGGCTCCAGGGATCAGAGCTGGCCCCGTGGGGATGTCACCCATGGTGGTGACCAGCCAGGATTACCATTGTGCTTGGTGGCTGGTCTCTGGAGGCGGTTCTGGAGGATGGAAAGCTGGTGCCGGAGCCCGCGTGTGCCCTGCAGGTGGGCGGCCTCCTGTGCCACCAGCAGCTTCTGCATTTGCTGCACCACGCTGAGTGCCTGCTGCCGGTTCAGGCATTCCTGGGGATCATGGGGACACCCCAATCACTGCTGGGTTCCCCTGCCACTCTGCCACATCCTGTGAGGACCCTTCCAAGAAGGCAGTATCCTGGGGGTTGGTTTGGATCTCCTGTCCTGGACAGAGCCCCTTCCCATCCTGGCTGGGGTCTGACCATGGCTCTGTGTCAGCTTCAGCCTTAGCCCCCACCTTCTGGTCCTGCTCTTACACATGGATGCTGTGGAGAAGCTGCATGCCCTGTGCCCATTTAACATCATTTCACTGCTGAAGGGGAAAAGCCCCATAACCATCCCCCTGGCCCTGACAGCTCCACAGGTGCTGTGGCTGTGCCGTACCCCCACTCTGGGCTGGTGTCAGGTGCTGGGGTGTGAGAGGTGGATGCTGAGAAGCCCTCAGAGGGCTGCTGTGGGGCTGGAGAGGAGGGAAAGAGGAACCTTACCTGGAAACTGCCAATGGGCAGCTGCAGGATGCCCAGAGCCAGCCAGGCTGGCAGTGGGATGAGGAGCATCACGCTGGGGCTGACTACAGGGGCAAGACGCTGACGGTCCGTTTCTGCTCACAGCTGTGTTCTGCGCTCACTGGGATTTATCTGCAGCCTGTGCCCATGTGTTTGTTGGTTTTTCCCTTGCCTGAGGCCAAGCTGTAGGAAAGTTTCCCCTTGGCACTGACTCTAGCCTCTCCCTTCCCTTCCGTTCCTTTCCCTCTGCACATCAGAGGCTTTGGGGCCTTTCATGTCCCAGATATTGGGGCCAGGCGGTGGTTGTCACGGCACTTACAGTGGTACCAGCGGTGCTGGGCTCACCACACGGCCAGTCCTGGCTCTGGGGCTCCCCGGCATGCAGAGATGCAGGATGAGGCTAATCCCATGCACTAGCTAAGCCTGGGAAAGTCTCCTGGGAGAAAAGATGACTTTGGGGTTTGTGCGAGTGTTCTGCTCTCTGGTGGGGCTGGGTCTGCTGGTGGGGGTAGCCCAGGAATGCTGTGGACTCACTGGACTCGGCACAGCTTTGCTGGGGTGAGCTCAGCCCTGGCTGGAGTTCACGGGGGAACCCCAGGGTGCTGCTGCAGCCTGGAGCTGGGGTGCTGTTGGTATTATGGTCCACATTAACATAAGGGTCAGGGTTAATGTTTGAGTCAGCAATAGGGCTAGGGATGAGGTTAGGATTAGGGTTAGGATTAGAATTGGGGTTAGGATTAGAGTTAAGGTTAACATTAGTGTTAGGTTTGGTGTTAGCATTAGGTTTAATGATTTGATTAGCATTAAAGTAATTGTTGGGGCTAAAGTTAGGTTTCTTGTTAGGGTTAATGCTAGCGTTAGTATCAGCGCCAAGGGTTCAGATCCATATTAGTAGGAGGGTTTGCATGAGAGTTGGGGTTGGCATCAGCATTAGTGCCAGGGTTCAGACCAGGGTCAGGTTTAGACTCGGGCTGAGGGAACTGAAGCATTCAGAGCTGGGTTTATGGTGACACCCAGCTCAGCCCTGACAGCTGGTGGGTAGGATGCTCCCAGTCCCTCCCACCTGTGGCATTTCAGACTCCTGAGCAGGGATGCCCACATCTATGCCCTGTGCCAGGGGAGCACCTGGCATGGGTTCTGGGACCCCTGTGCTGGGGCAGAGCTCTCATGGTGCAGTTGAGCTCCCTGAGCAGCTTGGGCAGTGGGACCCCTGCTTGACTCCAGGTGGCTGCCGAGACTCGGCCCCCCTTGGGCCCAGTATCTCTCCCGCCGCCGGCCCCCCGGCTCTCACATCCTCCCACCCTGTAACCACGCTGCCCAGCTCTCCGGAGCGGGTATTTGGCTTCATGCCCGCAGCGGTGTGTGTTACCTCCCCGGCATGTTTAATTCATGGGGCAGGAGGAAGGCTGGCAGCAGGGGCCCCCCTGCTGCCCCAGCCCCTTGGCTTCCAGTCTCCCAGTGTCCCAAAGTGGGTGTGCCGCTTGCGACCCCTGCTCACGCTGCCTCCACACCCCGACCCCGGCTCGGCGGCGGGGCTGGGGCAGAGCACGGAGCGCTGACCCCACTGCGGGACATCCCGGCGGGGCTGCAGCCCGGGGCCCCGGGAGTTGTCTGCCACATTCGCTCCAGCGAGCAACTGTTTTGACAGAGCTATTACTCACCCGTCAAGCTTTTGTTCCCGTTGCCCAGCGGTGCCTGTCTGGAGTCCTGAATAGGATCAAATCCTGCAACCAGACACACACACACGCACGCAGGAGAGCGCGGCCGGGCTCGCCCCAGAGCCAGAGCTGCTGCGGGGCGGCTCGGCTGTCCCCAGTCCTCCCTCCGGAGCTTGGGGGTCCGCTCCCCCATCCCAGGACCTACATGAAGCTCTTGGTCCTGCTGCTTTGCAGCCTCCTTGTGTGGAGGGTGGGTGAGACGAGGTCGGATGCTCCAGAAAAGTTGTCCCCGCTGGCTCCGGGAGGTAACTGATAGAGGGGCTGCCTCTCCGGCAGCAGGGCTGGGAGGCAGCTGGTTTGGGGCGTGGGTGCACCCTGAGCACCGTCCCCTTGGGCCAGACCAGACGTGCGGGGAACCGGGTGGGTGATGGGCACCCAGGGATGGCGGTGAGGGGCTTGGTAGGTAATGGGGGCTGAGGATGGGATGGGGCTGGGAGAAGGGGAATGGACTTGGTGATGGGATGGAGTTGGGGGACTCTGGGGCTGGTGTTCCAAGGGAACCAAGGTGTCTCTGGGGATGGCAATGGGATGGAGCTAGTGATGGAATGGGGCTGGGGGTCCTGCAGCTGGTGATGTGGGTTAGTGATAGGTCTTGCCCAGTGGGGTCTGGATCCCGGCAGGACAGAGGCAGGGGGGCAGAGAGGGTACATTCCTGGCAGTCTCAGCCCACCCGTGTGAGACGGGGACCCAGCGGGCTGTCCCC